GCGAAAAAAAAAATTACCACGCAAGATTTATTTATTAGCGCGATGTCTCATGTTAAACTGATCGCGAAGACAAGCGTTTATATATGCCACAAAAACGTGAAATCTATGGGGTTTTTACAGTTTTTTGAAAGTTTTCGCGGAAAAATTTATAAAAAATATTCTATAGGAAATGAAGAATGGACTGAGTTTGAGACAGAAACAATTACAAGTGATTAGGTAGAACATAATCACTTGAGCATTTCTAAGCTCAGTACTGTTGCAGACAAAACGAATGCACGCATACTCCGAAAAAACGAACAGTACTTTTATTTTTCTTTAACTCTAAAGATACAAAGATTTTTCCTAAGCTACTATTTTGAAAGTACTCTTGAGTAACAGCTCCTGTGCTCCACAATCGATTTCTTGTTATTAATCTATATTTGATGACAGTAGTGATCCGTTCAAAACAGAGAATGGCCATCACTCCATATAAATCTAAATGACGATGTTGTTCACCTTCAAAGCCTGTTTGAACATAAGATAGGAAGTTTGTTAAAGGGGTGCATATAATGCTGTTTCCTCAAAAAATAAATACTTCTGCTAAAGGACCCAAATGAGCTGGGATGCGACAACAAACATGACACAAATGGATGGATAAATTTGTCTGTTCTTAATGTTTCTGTTGAGAGCTTTTTACTGTATCCAGATGAACCCCTTATGTACGTTGTACATCATGGAAGAATTATCAAGCAGAAACTGATGCACTAAACAAGAATGTGGTTCTATACAGAGGAGAAGCTGGTCTCAGTCAACATCCTTCGTGAATGAAATGTCTCACAAATTAGCATATCAACAAATGTAGTATCCACAAAATGGTATCATTTAGGAATAAATGCGATTTTTTTGCAACAGAAGCCAGGATTTATTTAAAAGGTATATCGATAACGTTTCATTTCGTGCTATTTTGGGGTTGGGGAGTTAGGCTAGATTTTCTTTAAAACGCCAAAATGTTATATTTATTTGCATAATGAAATGTAAACAAACAGTGTACCATCATAATGTGGAAAAAATCAGAATTCAAACCGATTGCTGAAATTTTTTTCCTTTGTATAACTAAATGATAGAATATTCTTATTTTCAAAACACAATCTTACTGGCATCATTATATTGATTTAAATTTATAGTTGAAGTGCGTGTATTTTATTTCTCAACGAAGACGTACCGGAGAAGAAAGCTAAAATTATTACAGAAGGCGATTTTTCACAGCCTTCATCAAGGCGCCATTCATTCGCGGAAGTATTCTTAGTTTCATTAATCATTAACTTAATCTGGGGAGAAAGGCAAGATTTCGAGATAAACAAGCCAGAGAAAGGGTAAAAAACAGTTTCACGGCAGAATGGACATTGAATTAACCACTGTATTCCTCGAAACGATTAAGTTCGATTTTAGAGTTATACTATTGAGAAGAATTGAGTATCTATAGGATAATTGTTCGACGAAAAACTATCATACTGACCTTTTCCTCCTGCTCAAAAAATGTGCGCGAAATGTTAGGTGGTAAGAACATTCAGCCGCCATCTTGTCTTCGATGTACTGTTTTACGAAAGGAAAGACTGTCCTCTCAAGGGCGACAGCGAGGCTACAATAAACTCACTTTCATCGTAAAAAATACCACGATACCTTAAAGAACACGTCTGAGGAACGTAGCACCCAATACACGTCATTCAGCTCCAGAAAACAGCCTGCAAATGCTGGTACTGAACGTAAACAACTCACAGAAAATGCCTCTTTGGCACTTCAACAGCCCATATTAACGCATGCGCATACAAAATGCCCTCCTGTTCCTCATTATTACGGGCAGTTTGCTGTGTCCCTGGGGAAAGAAAGCCCTTACATTTTCTCTAAAGTCAACCCGCTTAATATGGACAAATTCGCCTCATTATTACGAACAGTTTGCTGTGTCCCTGGGGAAAGAAAGCCCTTACATTTTCTCTAAAGTCAACCAGCTTAATACGGACCCCTCATTATTACGGACAGTTTGCTGTGTCTCTGGAGAACGAAAGCCCTCACATTTTATCTAAAGTCAACCCGCTCAATACGGACACACCCCGTTAAAACGGACACTTTATATGACCCCCTCAGTGTCCGTATCAACGGGGTTTTGACTGTAGTTCCATTTTTCAAATGCTGAGTATTTTTTTCTGGAGTTGAATTCTAAAAAGCTATTAACTAAGTTTAGAAAAAGAAAAAGAAAATCCCCGTCTTATGTCCACGTCCTCCATAAAACGTGAAATTGGGAAGTTTCACGTCGGAGTCGTACAACGATCGACGGCAAAGAAATGAACAAAGTTGTTGTTTTGCTAATTAAAGTTATTGCTTTTCTGCCGTTCTCTTTGCCGTCGCCGTCGTCTTTTCTAAAGCTCCCTAACGTCTCCTCGAGCCCCTTAAAGAAAGTCCTTTGAAACCATAGACGCCCTAAGGCCTATTTTCGGAAATTCTCTTTATCAGCGGGAGTCCAAAATAGCGGCAATGTATTTTAGTCAAACGTCTCTTTTTCTTTTTATTCTTACCGAGGATTTGGTAGTCTCCCTCGCTGCCGTTTTTTGGATGTCACGCAACGCCCCTTGGAAATGAAACATTTGTGACCACGAAACTTCAACATTAACAATAAAAACTGTTTAACTTGTATTTTCCTGGCGGTATATACAGTCAACTGGCTTTATAGCGGACACTCTAGGGACCTCGAGTTAGTGTCCTCAATAGCATATGACAGTTTTTCGTAGGATTTAGCTGCTGTTAGTATTATAGGGGTGTCCGTATGCGTTATAGTGGGGTGTTCGCAAGGCGAGAGTTGGCTGTAAAGGGCTCGAAAAGAGTCCCGCCCGATAGTCATGGACCAGTACTGATTTTTCTGCTGGACATACAAGTTTTCATACTCACCAGGCAAGTGATTTTCTAACGAAATCACATTCAATAACCATAGGCCCCCCCCCGGGGGGGGAGGTACTTCAGAATGTTTGTGTAAGGATGTGGTCTTGGACCCCGCAACCCTTAGCCAACACCAGACCTTGTTCGGCTGGATTGTGTTGGCCAAAACTAGACAAAACTCCCAAATTTCTCCTAGAGTCGCTATTTTCCAGAATTACTGAGGACGACGCCTTCTTTGCTATTAAACTGCGTTGCGGATGAATTAAGATTTGCCAATTTCACTTTTTTTGAGTCGTCAATTCCCGGTTTTCCTAGTCTGAACTAAAATCTTCAACCAGTTGATCAGTAGTTTTCTGGAAAACGATACCCTATTCTAGACCAAAACTATTTTATTGTTAGGAAGGGGATTCAATAGCTTGCTGCCATGACAAGAGATAGAATGAAGCCCATTGCTGGTGGTGTTAACTATTGCTCCCATAGATTCTTATTACAATTTCGGAAAGTGAATAGTGCAACTGCTGGTAAGTAATTTTTCGTATTAGTTTTCATTGCGTACTTTCTTCTTCTTTTTTGTTTTTGTGTTTGTTTTTTCATCCAATCTAAAACTTTTATTCCCCCTAATCCTTGAATATGTAGCGCTACTAGACGTCTATCGAACAGTGAACCGAAGCGAATTCATCCACATAAAATGGACATTTCACTCCTCAAAACATGATTTTTTTTCAACTTCGACCAAAGACCAAAAAGTACAAAGGCGATACGCATCAAAGTCCTCCACGAGGAATGAAAAAGGTATTTTTTTCCTACCAATAAATGAAACACTTACAATAAATTCCCCCTTACCGCACTTCCGCTTGACTTCGTGGGATCGCCGCGGACCCGAAAACGAGAAACGGGTTTTCAAGTCTAATCCCAAGCTAATTCCCGCCCAAAGTAACACAAGATTCGAAATAAGGCTAATGCCCCGCCTACCGTGGCACATTACTTGTGCCTAAGCCCCGGCTAATCCCCGCATAGTCCTAGGGTTGAGGGGCGGGGATTTATATTAAAGAGATTCAGATTCAAGTTTACCAGGAACCCATCAGCGTTTACCGCAAAGGGCAAACTCAAGTTGAGAATTTCTCAGAATAGAAAATAAGCAGATAAAAACAGTTCCAAACGATTCCTATGGTTAAATCTAGCATGAAGCGACTTATTTTTGTGTAGAAGTAATTAAGAGTAAACGGAAAATAAGGGGATAACTTGGTCACGTGGTACAAGTTTGGCCTAAACGTGAATCTAATCTCTCTATTGACTGGTGCATTACGCGTGCAAAACTTCGTGTACAAGACTTCTACACTGGTAAGAATTTCTCTTTTAATAAGTGCCATAATAAAGAGATCTGCGTTTTTTCTCGGGAAAGTTAATTCATAAAAGCAGTAGAAAACTTTTTTCCTGTATGTATTTGTATAGTCTGATACTAAACACTCCTGGGGTTGGGAGAATTCTCCGCAGTTATGCAAACCGTGGGTTTGTATGACTGTCCCGAATTCTCCCAACCCCTCTCGTGTTTATATCGGGCTATGCAAACCCGGAAGACGTTTTCTAGTACTTAAATATAATAAACGTACTGCCCCTCCCCCTCCCCACCCCTGCTCCCCCTAACTCTGAGAATGAGAATGAAAGTTCAAGTTTTTTTCAAGCCCTGAATATGTTGGGAAACCCGCGTTGGTCACAGTCAGTTACACGCAATGCTTTTCCGTTTCCTCCTTTCAACATACAAGTAATCCCAGTAGTGAATTCCCTTGTCGGCACAGTGCGTGATTCCCTTGAAAAACAAGTTCTTGCGTGACGTTCTAAGGATCGGGGGGCCCGGCCTGTCATTGATCAAGTTATGATGACAGCAATCTCGTTTCATACCTCGGCTTTTTTAGCCTATCAGACGTTCTTTTTAAATCATCCGTCCATTATTAGTCTCCTTCTCAGTTGCTAGCATTGCGTGACCCCGCCAAGACCGTCATCAAAGAACGAGGTCAAACGGACATCCGGGCGACGCCTCTGCCATATTTGGCAAGATAATCTTGCGCAGTGTCAACTTCCTTGCTCATCATTTACGTTGCGGAAGGTCCAGCAAAAAAGCCTCGTTTAAATTAAACTACTTTGATTTAATATCCGGAGAATGCTTGTTGACCGAATTCTTGACTGATCAGGTAAGTCGTTGCATTCAAACTTGAGAAACTTCTTAATAACATCATCTGTAAGCATGCAAGGGTTTATGTTAGGTTTACTGATGTCGTCATGTTATAACTAGAACATACGCATCACACAAGTAGGAGTAACAACTGATTTTTATTTGCCATTTCACTCACATTTATACAAACATTCATAAGCGGCTCTAATTACAGATTACATACTTGGCATAATATCAAGCATATAATGTTGTGGCATTTCCTGTCGCGGTTTTCTACTAATGGATATGTTCAACTACGATAAGCTTTGTGGTAAGCATGTGGTTATATTGGTCAGGATGTTGGAACACGGAATCTAACACCCCCACTTGCTCCAATCATCTTTGACGAACTTAATATATGTATATATATATATACAAAACTAATTTCCCATGATAAAAGACTTAAACTTTTCTAGTTTAACTTTGGTTGCTGGCTTTGTAAAAATGTCAGCTACATTATCTTCTGTAGGCACATATTCTAACTTTACATTTCCTGCTTGTATTTCCGATCTTATAAAGTGATATTTTATGTCAATGTGCTTTGACCTCTGATGATTAACTGGGTTTTTAGCTAGGTTAATCGCCCCCTGATTATCTACGTGGATTACAACATCATCTATCACAATGTTCATATCTTTACAGATTTGTCTCAAGAACTTTGATTCTTGTACAGCACTAGCTAGCGAAATGTATTCCGCTTCACAAGTAGATAAAGCTACAGTGGGTTGTTTACGACTCTTCCATGAAATTAAAGGACCTCTCTCTAATAGCTGAAAATTATACCCAGTAATACTGCGTCTGTCTTTTACAGATGCTCCCCAGTCAGAGTCACAAAATCCTATTAATTTTAATGGTGACTCTGATTTTTCAAACTTAAGACATTGTTCCCTTGTGCCTTTTAGGTACCTAAGAACATGCTTGGCCAAAATGAGATCTGACTCTGAGGGCTTGGCCATGTTCTGTGAAAGTTTAGTCACGACGTAGCACAAATCCGGTCTCATGCCTGTCATTACATAGATTAAGCTCCCAACAATGGCTCGATACAATCTGGGGTCACTTAATTCTTTTGGCTTTACATCACATTCTTTTTCTATCCCAAGAGCACATGGCGTTGGTTTTGGCTTACAATCGCTCATTTGAAATTTGGATAGAACTTTGTCAATGTATTGGCTTTGGCTCATTTCAATAGATGTTTTGCTGCACTTGAATTGGGTTCCCAAGAACCATGAAAGTTCACCCAGATCTTTCATTTTGAATTTCTGGCAGAGAGACTCTTTTACGCTCTCGAGCAATTTGGCATAAGTCGCCGATATAATGATATCGTCGACCCAAATAATCAGAATAACGCATCCTTCGGTCTCTGAATTTCTCACGTACACACATGGGTCAGCACGTGACTGAGAAAAATTTTCGTTACACAAGAAGCTATGCAACATATTGTTCCAGTTTCTCCCACTTTGTTTGAGACCATAAAGTGATTTCTTCAATTTACACACTAATTTTTCGCCATTTGTGCCTCCCTTTTCGAAGCCTTTTGGCTGCTCCATGTAAATATCGCAATCTATTGGCGCATTAAGGTAGGCAGTTTTTACATCCATTTGATGAGTGATCATGTTATTTTGGACTGCACGTTGCATCAACATCCGAACTGAACTCATGCGGGCCGTAGGCGCAAATGTTTCCTGATAGTCTATTTCTGCAACTTGGGAATAGCCCTTAGCGACGTAACGCGCTTTATGAGTTTCTTCCCCATTTGGTCCGTTTTTTACGGCATAGACCCATTTTCCCCCCACTATTTTCCTACCCTCCGGTGGTGTTACTAGGTCGTACGTGTCATTGTCGTTCAAAGCTGTCATTTCGTCGTCCATGGCCTTTTGCCACTTATTCGCCTCAGGCGAGTCGACAGCCTCGTCATACGTTGTCGGTATGTTTACGACCCTGTAACAGTAGTCTACTGTGTAATAAACATTGTCTTTCATATCGTCCTCTAAAGCATACTCTTCGAGGTGTTTGGGTTTGTTATGGGTTCTAGTTGGGTACCTCCCGTTCGTCACAGGCTCATTGTCGTTAGTCGCAGTAACGCTCCCCTCCTCGTTTGGTTGGTCAGCCTGTTCTGTGTTCTGTTCAGTGTTATCCTCGACCCTTTGTTCTAGGACAGGTACAAATGCTTCCCCTTCTTCAATCTCTGTATAGGAAATACTCTGCCCGTGAAATTTCACACATCTTACCCTTTCGACCTAGATACGCTGGGCTTTCCCTGTCATAACCCACGAAGATACCCCTTTTGCTTCGCGCATCTAATTTCTTCGCGTTTTGCACATAAGCATAACATGTGGATCCGAAAACGTGCATATTGCCTAGGTTTGGTCGCTTTCCGGTTAGCGCCTCGAATGGTGTCATTCCCAACCTTGAGTTAAAACATCGATTCCGGATATATGCAGATGCCATCACTGCGTAGGTCCAAAGTGTTTTGGGTAAATTTGCCTCGAGCAATAAGCAGCGCGCCATGTCAAATAGACTTCTCCATCCTCTCTCCACCGTCCCATTTTGGTGCGGGGAATACGGCGCGCTCATTTCGTGTTTTATCTTATTTTCGCGCAACAAAGATCGAAAATGTTTGCTTGTGAATTCCGTTCCGTTGTCGCTCCGAATGCGCTTGATTTTACCGAAAGGAGTGGTGTCGGCCAAAAACTTTTGCGTCGCTTCTACGGTGTCGCTTTTCTGTTTGAGAAAATACACCTTGTTGATTCCTGTGTAATCATCTATAAAAGATAACGCATACTTGAAGCCGTCTTTTGCTGCGGGACTGATTGGGCCAGCTAAATCGCAATGAACGAATTCTAAAGGCTCTTTTGCTTTCTCGTCCGGTTTTCGATTCCGAAATTGGCACATTTTGCCTTGCGTGCAGATAGTGCACTCGCACTGTCGATCATCGACAATTTTCATTCCCTCAACTACGTTTTGAAGTTTTCGAAGATCGTTAAAATTGCAGTGTCCCATGATTTTGTGCCACTCCATTAGTGTGGTGGCGTTATTTTGGGTTGAAATGTTGTTCAGATAAAATAAACGCCCTTGTTGTTTGATACTAAACATTGTACCATTTGGTGCTCTCAAATTTTTGGCATCCTTATCTAAAGTTATGCTGGCCCCCCCTATCTATGGCTGCGGGAACAGAAAAAATATTTTGGGTATAGGACGGGATATAAAGGGCGTTGTTTAACACCACATCCTGTACATTACCGTTTACATCATAAAGCTTAACTTGGGCGTTTCCCCTTCCTAAAACCACATTAGCCCTACTTCCATCGGCTAACTCAATAAAATGTGTACTAGGGTCGAATTTCTTATCAAAATCTACGAACTTAGACTTGTCATTGATAATATGGCTTGTAGCGCCGGTATCTAAAAGTAATTGATTTGGAGTAGGCTCACCTCTACCTTCCTGATCCTTAACAGTAAATAGAAAACTATGACTATTGTTGTCTCTTTTAAGTTTTTGTTCTTGTCCTATTGCGGACTTTGCTGCGTCAGGGTTCCCTTTGCGGCAATCTTTGGTGTTGTGGGAATTGTTCTTGCAACGCTGGCACCACTTGTCGGCGACTTTGTTCGAGTAGCAGTCCACGCTTCTGTGTCCCTTTCGTCCACATTTGAAGCACTTTCCTTGGAACTTTGGCTTGCTTGAACCATTCGCGGCCGACATTACGCCATCTCCGTTTCCATCATCGTCTTTATGGCAACATTTCTCGTTCTCCTCATGGTTTCGGAGCGAGACCTTAAATTCTGCAAATGTCATGGGAGTGTCCTTCTGCATGACAATCGTGCCGAAAGTCTTGTAACTTTTAGGCAGGCCTTTTAGGGTCATCGCGACCAACAGACCGTCGCTGATTACTTCGCCAGCAGCTTTAAGCGGTTGCTGCGGTCTCCGCCCTGATGATGTAGTCTGTGGTCGTTTCTGTTTCACCCATTTGAAGTGAAGTCAACTCTGTGTAGAGGGCAATGATGCGGGGTTTTCCTTTGCCTTGGTAGTGCTCCCTTAAGACTCTGAGCGCTTTCCTCCCGTCATTTTTGGCCTCTCTGATAACCAGGGACAAGCTTCTGTCATCCAAACACTGGACCATTTCTGCAAACGCACTAGCTTTCTTTTCCTCGCTGGGTTCTTCCTTTTCATCTGCAGCTGGTATAACTACATCGTGGAGTTTCTGAAGGCGCATGTATCCTAGGAACTTTACTTCCCATAGCTCGTACCTGCTTTCGTCCCCGTCAAATATGAGCGTCCTCCTGGGCCCATAACCTGTTAGGTTTACTGATGTCGTCATGTTATAACTAGAACATACGCATCACACAAGTAGGAGTAACAACTGATTTTTATTTGCCATTTCACTCACATTTATACAAACATTCATAAGCGGCTCTAATTACAGATTACATACTTGGCATAATATCAAGCATATAATGTTGTGGCATTTCCTGTCGCGGTTTTCTACTAATGGATATGTTCAACTACGATAAGCTTTGTGGTAAGCATGTGGTTATATTGGTCAGGATGTTGGAACACGGAATCTAACAGTTTACTCGCTGGACGAAGCTGAAGTTTATTACTTTTAATAATAGAGTTGCGTGTTACATAGAACACTGATAGAAGTGCGTGTTAAATGATGTTGGTGTTTAAAAGTACATGTACAGAAACATAAGACACAGTGTTTAAGCACAGGAAACGGAGAACAACCTTGAAGATACGATGCGCAGCTCTGGCGTAATGTAGACTATAAACTTCGAGGTGTTTCACAAAAATGATTTCAGAAGGAAAAATTTTAAAGGATGCAAAAACGAGCTTTTTATGCGATTTCCAGACACTCATTGAAAATTAATTTCCCTTGTACTTTCTTCATGAATATTAGCAGTATTGTGAGAAGAGTAACGAAAGAAAGTGCTTGTAAAAGCAAATAATATTTTCATGATAGCTGATGACGTTGTTTATGGACCATGGGGGAGGGGAGAAACAAAATGAAAGTGAAAGACTCCTGAAACTTTGAGTATCTTAACCCTTTAACTCCTAATAGTGACCACCATCAGTTTTCTCCTAACAATATCCATATGTTACTAAGAAAATGGTTATGAGAGTTAATAAAATGATCATTAAAGAGAAAATGCTTCGATCTGTTATCAAATTCTCTCTACTGATTCTTTAAGGAAATGTATGGAGATCAGTTTGGAGAATTTGTAGGTGGATATCAGGGCTTAAAGGGGCTATGTCATGCTACTTGCTATCTTTTTAAAAAGCAAAACCTTTTTTTGCAGCAATTGAAATCCAAAAATAATGGTCTAGTTTTGTTATTTTTTGAGACCTACATTTAGGCATTGTACAATATTGTAACTGTTTCTTGTCCTCCGTGGCAAAGGATGGCAAGATTGGACATGGATTGAAACTTGAAAAATCTGGGTCATTTTTTCAAGTTTTAATGCTATTCCTGCAAAAATTGCTCAAAAAATATTATGATTGGTGCTACCTGGTAAAATTTGATTTGTGTTTTCTTTTTAACCCTATGGGAGCATTTTTAAACTATTATGTAGACTTCTGGCTTTGCAGTCCACATGCACAGATGGTGATGGAACTTTATTGATGCAGACTACCTGCAAATCGTGGAGCTGCTAATCAGAACAAAATTGTCTTTATCTTACCAACTCACTGATTCAGCCATAAAGTAAATTATTTAAAATACAAACTACCTGCAAATAACAGAGTTGGTCTAGGCTCAGGTAAAATGTGGCATGGAGATATTTTGTTTACACTTCTTTTGTAATACTAAAATATTACTATAAATTATTACAAAACAGTTAGTAATTTGTTTTAGAGACAATTTTAGAATTGGTGTAATTTTTTTATCAACCTCTTTCCCAGGGTTCTCTCTCTAAGTTCCTCTCTCGAGAAAGAACACTGCTGGTTGCAGCCTGGTCAATAAGCTTAACCTATGACAGTGAACTCCTCATAGGGGTTGGGTGAATGTGCAGATGTACTATCTAGCTAAGTTTTGCTTGAACAGAAATTTGTTCATGGAGCAAATAATGAGCTCAAACTCAAGGCAGTTAAATGCCTGTTTATGCATATGCTATTTTGTTCTGGAACTGGCTAAATAACAGAGCAAAGGTTTTTATTATTATTATTATTATTTATTTGAGACCATTTTTTTGATTGCTCTGAAAAATTAATTTCAAATTTGACCCCAAAGGACTAAATGCTCACTGTTTTATTGAATATCAAATAGTGGCTTAATGGAGTTTGCTCATGCAATCTCAGAGAAGATTTGCAACAAAACAATTCAGGAACTATGATATTTTCCTTTTTTCAGAATGTAAATTGCATTGCTCTTAATATGCTTGAGGTGAATGCTTTTGATCCACTGACGGGTGAGGCTCATGGTGCATCAATGAATTAAGGTACTTGAATACATGTATATAATTATATGTGTGTATTACCAATAGTAAGACAGATGTTTGCTAGTTTTAAGTTACTGTGCAGTGGATTAACTTATTGTTAATGAAGGAGGAAAAATGCCCTACTGAACTTCTTAATTCTGCTCCTGAATTGCCCCTTATTTGGGTTGTGAAACCAAATGAGAATTTGAAATTATTTCATGTGTCCCTTCTTCGCATTTGAATTTTATCAGTTTTCATCAAAGGTGAATATATTCAATTTCAAGCGTAAAGACATGGTCAGCAAAGCTGTACGCACAAAATAATAATCATTTGGTTTGAATCTGTATTGCCGGTTAGTAGAAGTTAGGTAACCTGCAAATGATTTATATGTGACTCTATTAGGAAATCCTCAAGATCCTGTATATGATTCTATCCCATTGCAAGTCAGGGGTAATTAAACTCAACACCTACACGTTTTCCTAAATGAAAAGACGGCTGATGGTCGCATATGGCTTTGCTTCAAGTTTTTATTCTATTTCTTTCGATTCTCGTAAAAAGGAAGTAAAATGACGCGGGCCTTAATTAATTAATCTATTATTTTTTACAGCCAAATGCTAAAAAATCCACAATGAACCTTAAGGAAATGACCACAAAGAAACTGCGGGACTTTGCCTATTTTGCCCATGGAAAACATGGACAATTTGGCGGATGATCTTCTAATGAAGTTGAACACTAGCTGATGTGTGCTCTTTGCATCTGTCCCCCTAGAAACCAAAATAATTCAGCACTCTGGAGTAATAAATTATTACATGATCTCAATTATTCCTCAATGAAGATCACTGAAATTGTATTTTCAAGTTGAAGCATACTTTTAGGATACTTTTATTAGTTTACTTTTGTTTTGAATTGATACCAACATAATTATAATATTCTCAGGCTGTGTCTTTAATTTTTTAAGTATACTTATAGTAAAGCACACTTTTCTTTGGGAAAATTTTTTCACCAGCACTGAAGTTTGAAGAAGTATACTTAAAGTACACTTTAATATTTGAAGTATAAATGAAATACATTTGCCATTAAAATACTCAATTAATTTTATACTTTTGGTGAACTACAAATGAATTATACTTCTAATACTTTTTTCCCCTGAGAAACACATATATAAGTATACTTGAAGTATACTTACATGTAAAGTATACTTCATTTCTGTGAGGGCATCTGATATTGCAAGCACCACACTCAAAACAGGGGCAACCAAACATAAACTGGCCTGTAGTCACAGTTTCTGTTCATAGCAAAGAAATCTGACTTTTAAAACTGAGAAACCTTTCGCTAAATCTTAAAGTGTCTAACATGGCCCTGGTTTAGACAGGTTTGTTGCCCTGTAAACTCCATTAAAAAATTAGCATTCATTATTAAATTATTGTTATTATTATAAAGTATGTAATCTCATGCAGAACAACAATTACAGTTAGCTGTATATTTACTAAACTTAACTCATTTGTGCACAGGGTCTAAAAGGTTCATGTAGTTATACCAACTTGTGAGGCAAGGCTTCCTGTGATGTCCAGGCTTAAAAAGGTAATTAAAGGTACTTGCTATTCAAAGGGTACTTTAGGTTTTTGTTTTTACTGTTAAATTTCTTTGTCCTAAACGTGATTCTTAACCTGTTGTAGTTAACTGCTAGATGCAGATAATTGTTAATTTAGGGATGTCACTAAGATTTCAAGTTGTCGGGTAAATACAACAAGTAGGCGGGGAATCAAACAGCTAGGGATTTCTTTTGGTTCTATTTTTCTTCTATTTTCCTATGAAAGTAGCCAGGGGCCGCGTTCATAGTAACCAGGGAAATCCCCAGCTCCCGCTCCTTAATGACAGCCCTGTTAATTTCCAACTCTTTTGCCCGTGAAAGCACTGAGCATCTGACAGGATGTGGAAAAAAAATATATGAAAATTTTGTGGCAATGTTAAGACATACTATGCAGAAAATAGCCTCACACTGTAAATTGATTTGCAGTCAAATTGACAAAACTGTGAGTTCCACTAAAATTTCTGGAATGTTATTATGCTGCAAGAAAAAAATTCAACCAGGGGTGAGCAACTAATTGCTGCAAGAAACAACAATGTATTTTGTTTGTGGTTTTGAATTCGCTTAAAGCTTGTGTTACTGCCAGCTGATCTTTGCTGTGATTGCTCATAACATAATAATGATATCTGAAATATATTAAGTGTTCACAGTTTTGTCGGTTTGACTGTAAATTATTTCTTCTCAATTACTCCCACTGACTACAGTAGAATGCCTATCAGAGTTGTCCAGAAAAATTAGAGAGAAAGAAAAAATTTTGAAGGGGGCAACTAAGGACTAGAATTAAAGGTACTAATAGAGGGAGTCTTTAAAGACTTTCCTGGGAAAAATTTGGGGCATTCTGAAAAGTGTATTTAATTTGGAGCTGTTACCATGCATGAAAACATTTTTTTTTTAATGTAAGGATGGCACCTTTATTTACCCACAAATACAATGTATATCTGTCTGGATTTGCTAAAACATGGCTTTAGAAATTTCAAGTGCATTTTTACAACAATTTGACATCCAAGTCGAATGGAAATTAGTGTTCATTAAAGTCACCAGCTGAGGCTTATAAACAATGACAAATTTATTATTGCTGGCAACAGATGGCAAATTTCTCTCGCAGAAGTAACAGTATTATTTTTGTGATGAAATAAACAACATTTGAAACATCCAGAAATTATAACCTTTTAGCCAGTCAAACCAGGAGGCCCATACAGGTAGCAAGCCAAGTGTCTGCCAAAAACAGATTAAGAAATCATTAATCTTTGAGTACTGTCTAGAATTGGCATTATAAAATAAACACTCACTAAGTGTTTTTGTGCTCAACCACATACCTGTGTTTTGTCTGTCAATGTCTTCGGATTGCAATTGCCTTTATGAATTAAAGGGAGATTTGAGCCCTGTAATGCTTAAGGAAATATTTCACGAGAGTGTTGAATTGTATGGAAAATCATGCAAGCGTGACTGGATGGCAAAAGTTGTTTTTCTCATACAAATGCTTCCAACTTTCAGTGGCCGTTGCAATCGCTACTTTTGAGATAAACGACTGAAAATGCCCGTGTTACCTAATTTTAATAATTATGCTCTTTCAGCTTGTGCTAACAAAATTTTTCAAAAGTGAACTGTTTTTGTGTTTAGCAAAAGTTGGTCACGTGATCAAGTCATACAAAGAGCCTATTATAGCAAAATTCGCTTACATTCTGCTTCCCCAAAATATGAAGTACGCTTGTTTTGATATTTCTAAATCATTTCTATGGCTGTGAAAAGCCTTCTAGGAACAGATTAGATATATGATCCTTGCAAGGTCAATGCAGACAGATAATGCCGCAGTTTAATGATCTATTATGCAAATTAGCACGTTGCTAAGGCTAAAACATTGTTTACGACGTGTTATTGAGAGCACATCACGCAACGAGTTCAAACAAAGATTTTCGTATTTTCTCGCCACTTTCCGTGCTACAATCAGGTCAGTGTCACAACAAACATTAAGAATAGTGGTTTACTCATAAGAATTCAAGATGGCAGGGAAGAAAACAGCGCAGTGCGACGACATTTAAGTGCGAATTAAGGGGAATTTTGCAGCTGTGTTGGACCGCACTGAAAACAAATCGATGTAAAAAGATGAGGATTTATAATACCGCGCTGAAACTTGCCAGGTTAATTCACATAATGTTAAGGAAAAATGTATTAAATTTCTGGCAATTCCCGGAATATTTTGGAATTTTTGCGGTGGCCTAAAGTTACAGGGTATTAGAAAATACTCCACCTCTATATCTCAGGACAAATTTGCTGGCTACAACCAGAAATTTAAAGGTAAATGAACAAATTAAGTATAAGTCAGTTCCAATTTTCTTGTTATTCCAAGCTATCGAGAGAAAGCCTGCAGAAATACAGAATTTTTGAATTTTTGAACCTACGATATTAATCGGAAGTAACACCTTAGGTGTGAAAATTGACACCTCAGATATCAATTTTCTGAAAGCTCAGCTCTCGCTTGATAGGCCTGTGTAATTTTTATTTTACAAAATTCTTAATGATATGAGAAATAAATTTTTTAAATGGAAGGGTTTATAGCAGATCTAATACCTTAACTTAATCCACTACAAGAGCTGAGTTCTGTCTAATACGTGCGCTGTTTTCAAACTGACATACAGAGAGAATTATGGGAAGTTAATTATGAAAAGTGTTTTTGGGGGGGAAGGGGTTAGGTTAATTATATTATAAGCCAGCGAGAAACTTATGACAGTCTATCTAAAACATGCTTGAAGATGAGACTCAGGAAAGGTATATGAGAGAAATGTCTAAAGCCATGTTGTAGCAAATTCAGTTTAATAGATATAATAAATATTGCTGATTGTTTTCATCTATGAAACTTGAAGTATTTACAGTGCAGGCCACAGGAATTGCAGCATCTACGCGCATGTAAATTGCGTGCAATATGGCGGATTTACATACAAAATACTCAAAAAGAACATGCTTATATAAAAATATTACAAAAAACATTACACACAGCTTATATTAAATTACACGCAAAATGCAAGATGCATGTATTTATTATTTTGTGTTTTTCCCTGGGATAACAACAGATAAATTCAGGAGAAACAACAGATGTGTGAAATCCTGGTATCAAAGAAAGCTTTAGTAACCTGATCTGAAGAAGACAGCGATGTACAGTACACTTTACAGGTATGTGTTCTATAACACTTTCAGTCTTCTCAGATTTGTATTTTACTTTGGTGAATTAACATACAATTATTCACATTGCAGTTCACATGACAAATAAATCACACCACTTCATCAACTACTGGAATGCATACAATGTTTAGGACTGTGTATTTGCTTTGGATTAGCTGCTTTCTTTTTGTATTTGTTTCTTTTTTTGGTAGTATATTTTTCTAAATTGATTTTGTTCACCAGCTCCTGATAGGCCAGTTCAATTTACTATCATGCGAACAAGAAAGAGAAGGTTAAGAGTGGTTGCAGACTCAGCTGAAAAAGGTAATTTCACCCAGTTTAGGCTAAAAATAATGAATACAAGTCCCCCAGCCCTCTTATTGGTTACCACTCCAATACTTAATTCTTACTGAATTATAATTATGATGGTATATAGTGCATCAGGGTTGTCATTAAGAGCCATGGGCTGGGGATTTTCCCCGGCTACTAAGAGAGTGGCCCCCAGCTACTTTTATTGGAAAATAGAAGAAAAATAGAACCAAAAGAAATCCCTAGCCATTTGATTCCCCGCCTACTTGTTGTATTTACCCGGCAACTTGAAATCTTAGTGACAACCCTGAGTGCATACAATGTATATCTGCCATGAAATGTATACCCCTGCATTAGGACAAAATACACAATCGTAGCCTGGGACCTGAGACCCCTCTGTTGGAAAAGAAAAGATGTATACTAATCAAGGCTGTGCTCTAAGGAAAATTGAAGGGAGCCCAATGCTCTGAGCCTGTAAAATCCAGGGTGCCCAGCATATGATTTGTATGAAAAAACAATGATTTTCCAGTCGCCCAAGAACAAGGTGTATTATGGGAGAGGTGCAAATGGCGAATGTTGTGACTTTTGTTTATTAATTTTAAAACAAAGATGAATTTTATCATTAGGGTGAAATTCTAAAAAATAAAGAATGTGTCCCCTGTAAACAGGAGCCTCCCTTTGAGTTCCTTTGGATTGGTGTATGTTCTATCCTTTCCAAGCCCATAAAGATTTAGCACCCAGGGCACCAATTCAATTACTGTTATTGCTTATCAATAAAATTGACCTACTGGCAAAAGTGGTATTGTGGTTTAATGTGTTAACAGATTTTATGTATAACATTGACACCATAATGTGGGTTGAGTTTGTTGTTAGTTCACCGGCCCTTGCTCTGAGAGGTTTTTTTTCTGCATACTTCT